ACACCTGAGACAAAATATTAACGATAACAGAAAAAAAATACTATCATACAATATTTGAGGTAAAATTTGTCTTTTTACTTAGTTAAATAAATAGACTAGTTACATGATATAAAAAATATAAGTTAAGGCGCAGTAGTCACGTGATGATCACATGTAGGACCCGCGGTCTTACACATAACTAAAGTGGTTTTCTATAGTTTGGATTTGTGTAGCAGTAGGCTTTCGAAATCGTATTTGCACCATAGGTTCTGATTCGTTTGATTTTATTTATTCCAATCTTTTGGAATAACTTGTAAATCTTTATGGCCCTTTGTGTTTTTTTACGCAAATTATCCTTCGCATTTCCCAGAATAAAATGTTGTGTAATTTCATTATAAACCCGGTTCCTAGCAGTTTGATCACTAACCCCCTCTCATTTTTCACAATATCATCGATTCTCTCCTCATATCCTTTTCTATAATAGTACCAATATAAAATTTCCTCTTGATTTGCCTTCATCACACGCGTTTCTGCACTACATGCTTTTTGGTATAAACGAACTAAATTTTTTGATATAGAATTCTCAGAACTCTCTACAAAATCATTATTAATTTCAGCAAACTCCCCTTAATGGGCGTAGATAATTCTTTTAACAAACCTTGTAATGTATCTTGCTCACGGAAAATTTTTAAAGACAATTGTCTTAATTGGGTTTGTGTGTGACTTTTAGTGTTTTCATCTAGAGAGGTTTGATCTTCTGATCGAACTTGTGAAGTGACAATAGTATTTTTTTTATCTGTAATAGAACTTCTCGCCTGGTCTTGTATGAAAGGTTTATCTACCTGTTTCTCTTGACCTGCAATAGGTCTATCATCCTCAGCTAACCCCAATTTCCTCATATGCTTCAAAACATTATTATCATTCTCTATAGTATCTGTACTTATCTGTAATACTTTGTTTGCAGAGTCATAGTTTTTGCATACTAGATGGGATTCACTAGAAGCATGTGCAAATTCTTCTCTAATTGTTTTAATAGATTTGGGGCAAACTGGGCATTTGGGGCTTCATGATTTTGTATGTATAATATGTTTTTCAAGGCAGGTTTGGTGAAGTATATTATCACAAGATAATATTGTGAATGCTTAGGGTAGGTGTGTTAGAATTTTTTCTTTGCAGATATAACATGGATTTAGCTTTAGAATATTTTTAGCATCAGAGATTTCAGATATATTTTTATTTCTTAGGTAATTTAATGAAAGCATTTTAAGTTGGGAAGTATTAACATTGTCTGTATAATCATCTGTTAAACTTGGCAAAGTTTTGCTAGCCATATTGGTAAATTTGAATAGAAGTCAATTGTTAAAACTTTGAAAGCTAAGTATTTTTCATTTTATATATAGACACTTTCATGACTAAAAAAAAATAATTTACAAATTTTATAAAAACCAATTTCAGATTTGACAATCTGTTCATTCAAGAATTATTTAGTATAAACCAAGAACTAATCGATCTACTAACAATCATAAACGAGTTATATATTACCAATTTACAAACTAATTTTGAATTTGGTAATCTGTCTATTCATGAATTATTTAGTATGGACTAGGATCACTCGATCTACTAGCAATTGTGAACGATTTACAAATTAGTAATATGTTAACTGAATGAAATAAAGCAATAATAATTCGATTTGGACAAAAAAACCAGGACCACTCAATTTTCACTAGCTATTATGAATGATTCACAAATTAAAGACACAAACTTCTATTCTTATCTCATTCTAACATCAGAAACATTAGTTTGACTTGAGTAATGCTAATTCAAAGATTCATAATATATATTATACCAAAACTTTCTAGAAAAAAAAAAGTCGACAGATTAACTATTTATTTGATTTTTTCTTTATACACATTACTTTTCTTGAGCCACTCAATCTACTAGCAATTCTCAAGTTTATTAGCATTTTGATAATACCGATCTTAGGCACATTTCATTAATGTGCCACCTGGTTGATAAAGCTATTTCCTTACTACGTGCTAGATTATTTTAGCTAAATTTATTTATTTTTTTCATAAATGATATGCTTGCTGGATGATAATAGCTAGTTGATTTTTAGTTTTAAAATATATTACTTGGGTTTTAAATTCTCTAAATTCAGAGTTATTGGCTATATATTTTCTTCTGATTAAATTATTTTTAATACGGAATACAAAGTTTCTCCAATAGTTCTTACCTTTTATTTTATGTCCTGGTATAAATAAACATCTACATATATATTCGGGCGGATAATACTTCACAAATTGTAGCCAAGCTTCTAGTGTTTTTAAATTACTAATATAGTTTAAGCCATATTTAGATAACATGTATCGGGTATAACTATTTTTTTCCCATTCCTCAAAAATATCTTGAATATTAGGCATGTTTAATGCATAGATTTTATTAACTAAGGCTTTTATTTAATAAGTATGAACCAATGACTGATCGATCTAGTAAATGATTAGTGAAGAAAAGGAGGAGTATACACTTCATAAATTTTTATTTCACATTGATACTACCAATTTATAAGAAAAAAATATTAATATAAAAATAGATCTCTCAATTGTGACCTCAAGAATAGCATTAGGAAAATGGTAGACAACTACTTGTTTTTTGCTATTTTTACTGTTTGAGTTGGTCAATGAATATAAGCCTTATTGTTGGATATAAGTTTTGAAAATTGGCTATAATATCTTTTCTAATCCGCAAACAATTACTAATTTCTATCATTTTCAGATTAGGAGCCAGTTTTGGAATTTTTGTAATTGTTTTTGGCTTAAGCATCTGGAACCTCTTATTGCAAGTGATTTTAAATTAGGACACTCGACTAAAAGTACTTCTAAATTTTTATTGTTAATTATATGTGACCCACAATTTTCAAAACTAGCTGTTGTAAATTTGCACATGCTTTACACACTTTAGAAATGTATACATCTGGTTCTATATTTATTGTTCCAATAAATTTCAGAGATAATACTTGTTCACATGATTTTGGCTTCATATTTTTACTTAATGCATTAGTAAACTTGATTCTGGAGATACCTGTTAGAGTTATTTTATACTATATTAGTCTACTAGCATTGTAATACCATTGCTTATTAACCAATAAAAGTTTACTTATTTTTTCCCATTTATGCTGTAGTATTAAAAAATTCTTTTAAATATTTCATTTGGTATTGCAGTTACATAATAGATAGTTGATTCTTACAACTTCGTGGATGTGGTTGTGATTATTTCTTTAAAATTAGTCTACTCTAGTCACATTGTATTCTTTATTAAGACATTATCTGCATTAACTATTTTAACTCTCCTGCTTGTTTTTTAATCACCTAATTGCTAATTTTACCTGAAAGAATAAACCTATCTGTATAGACACGCTTTATATGATCACCTAGTGATCTGATTTTTTCTGATACTGTTTTGCGTCCTCTTGCTGAAATAAAAGGTGCTATGCATTAATGAGAACCTGGTCTTCATCTATCTAAATATAATCGCCCCAAAGTAATACTAGCATATGCTTGGCAACTATATCTGCCTGTCCATCTTCATGCTTGATTTCTGTAAGATAACTTGCCTATTGATAGAAAATTTCATCTCTATACATAAGCTGATTTGGCTCAAATATTAAAGCATTAGGACTTTCAGAGGATAATTCTATATGAAGACCTAGATCTATTGCCATTTGTATGTCATAGTGAGTGTAATATTCCACAGAATTATAATAAAAAGTTTTTGTGCATTTTTGACCTGCTAGCTGACCTTCTATAAAAATATGATAAATTCTGTATTTTAGATTAAAGTTGATAGGATTAATACTAATGTGTGTAAATATTTTAAATTCTCCTGGACCTATTAGCCAACATGTACTCCCATAAGCTAAAATGTGCAGATAATATTCATTGAAATCTAACTCAGTTGTAATTTCTTTATATGGCTTGGCCTATATTAAACCTCCTATATATGCTGATCTTATCTACTGGTCTTTCTTTGACGATAAGTCTTCAGCTTTTCTAGAACATCTAGCTACATCTTGAAAAAAGCACAGACTTGCTATTGCATACGTACTAGTTTTTCTTAAGTCTATCTGCCTATCACTTTGCCAAAATATTGTATTGGCTTCATTATTATAATAAATATAAGCATCTTGAAGTGTTTCATTCAGATTAGCTTTGATTATGAACCAGTTTCGTGATAAATCACAGAAGTCATTTTCAGAACCAATTCATTGTGTAAATCTATCACAGAACTTGATATACAAATCCTGCTTTTTTCAGAATAGAAATCTTCATATAGCTGAATACCATCTTGTATTAGTGTTTTGGTAAGTTAAAGTGGTCTTAAAGTTGCTTACTCTCTCCTCTAACCCTTCTTCTAGTTCTGGTAGCTTAGAAGGTTCGGGTAACTTAGGTGGTGTTAGGTCTCCCCAGCTTGGTAAAAGATTTCCAAACAATCATTCTAATATACCGGTAATAGTACTAAGTATTTCACTCATGTTTTCTTAAAGATTATATATAGTTACAAAAAGTTTAAAATAAAAATTAATTTATTCAGATAATTATAGTTACATATTTATTCAAAAAACAAACTAATATAGGATTTTATAAATATCCATATATTCTTAGGTTTGGAGAAATATACAATGAGACATGCTATTGAGAAAAAGGGTGTAAAGTCCATTGGAAATCTTCTAATCGAGTTTTCTGTATAGAATACGGAAAATTAACTTCCTCTATTTATAGTACTTGTAGAAAACATACAGGTAAATATTATATTCAGGATTTTTATTAGCATCAAAAGCTTGCAAAAATTCAGGCAAATGATAATCTAGTGATAGGCTAGTGTTAGAGATGTTTTCAGAACCCAAAATGTATACATTTATATCACATTATTTTTTACCTTGAGGTGAAAATTATGATCCTATTTGCTTATAATATTAGCATTCATTATATATTTTTTAGTTTGTTTACATGTGCTTTGCTTCGCTTCGCACAAAGGCTTCACTTTGCTCTGTCTACAGTAAACCATGTATTGCATTTATTATATACTTTATGGTTTGTTTACATATGCTTTGCTTCACTTCACACAAAGGCTTCGTTTTGCTCTGCCTATAATAAATCTTGTCTTGTATTTATAATTGCTTTCAAATATGTCTCATTTATTAGCATATACTAGAATAGTAGCATATAGATTGAAAAAATATAGCATCCACATTTGCTTCACCCTAAAGGGCTTACTCATGTTCCTGCTATATTTTTTCTCAAAGAGCATTTGCATTACCCTAAAGGGTTTATGCTTTTGCCTCTTCTTCAGCTACCTATATAGTATGCTATTAGAAGGCAATTTTTTGATATTTAGGGCAACCTTCTGGGTTTATTTGGAGGTCAAGGGCTTTTTGTACCAAAAAGCCTATTTTTTTACTACTATTATTACAATTTTTATTATTTAAGTTTCTATATTTTTGTTTGTTAGTTAAAAAATATGGAGCTTTAACAAAATCTTTATGAAGGCTTTCATAAGTTTCTATAGAAAACCTATTTAAAAAACTATATTTTTTAATTAAATCAACTAAATGAAATATCTATAAATATAATTTTGGAAATTTTAATTTAGATAAAGAATATAATTGAAAAATATTAATAAATTGTTAGACCCAATCTATTATTAAACTCTAAATAAGAGGTGTGGTGACTTAGTGAAGTGGTGGAGTTGTTATATCCCCAAATGGCAGGTCTAGAGTTCGAATCCCATAGACAATGATTTTGAAAAAACTAGATCTGTATCGGTTAACATTAAGATTATCAGTTGGATCCAAATATCTGTAATCTTGATTACACCATCTCGAATAGGAGCTTTGGCACAATAAATCCAGAAAA